ATATACAAATATTCACCCCGGGTTGGATAAATAGCCATTATAAATAGCATCACATCAGTTCGGGTCTGGTTTTGCTGCCAAATGAGTCCAAATCAAACCTAGGAAAAATCTTTCCATTTATGAAGCTGTCCGGATTCCAGAAGTGTGGACATTTGTGCATACAAATTATTATCTGCATTTTACATACGAGGAAACTGAGGCTTAGAGAAACTGTCTGCCTGTGGACTCGTTAATCTCTGCACTACACTGCTTCCCAAGAAAAGAAAAAGGAAGAGAAGAAAAAGAAGGAATTGGCAGCTGAGAGACAGGAGGAAAGGTCGAAGCCTCTCGCATTGTCACTGCCACCAAACTCCCTGTTCTAAGGGCCTTCCGCACAATCGTACTTCATCTTGACATTGACCCTGTGACACAGGCACCATCTTGTTTTACAGGCTCAGAGACACTAAGGAACTTGCCCAGGATCACTTGATGAGGGGTCGAGCCAACTCCCAACCCGCAGTCCCCCCGCTTCCTACCCATGTGGGGAGAGCGCCTCCCCGGTCAAGCTGCCCTGTCTGCAGGAACTTTCCTGCCATGCCTGCTTCTCCTGCCCTTGCCCTCCTGTCCCCTCCTTTGTGAGCTTGCTAAGTGCATGCGTCTGACAGAGCACGGAGGACTAGTTCAGCCCCTGCCTCACAGCGGCCCTCAGTAAATACTTGTTAGATGCAAGGATGGAAGGATGGATGGATGGAGGGATGGGTGACCTTAAAAAGGTGTGTCAGAGACTAGACCAGAGCGACCATACATCCCAGCTTGCCAGGGACTATCCCATTTACTCCCATTGTTCCAGCACAATGTTAACAGCACCCCCCTTCACTTTCAAAAGTGCCCAGTTTGGAGGATAAAGTCTGCATGTAAGCGAAAGGATTTGGGAACTTAAAAGGACAAGCCCTGATGAAGCTGATATCAAATTATGCCCTGCCTCTCCCCGCCTCACCCCGCCAGGCTGTAGGAGGCGGAGGTTCGAGGTGAGACAGTTTACACGCAGATGCCAGCTGGCTAAGGCCCAGCACCAGCTGCCTACCACCCTCCTGGAAGAGGGGCTAAGCACGGGGTGCCCCCCAGGCTGTTATCATGGAGCCCCAGTAATGGAGACGGGATGCTGGCAGAGCACACCTGGAACAGCAGCCACCTAGCCCTAAGCTGCTGCCACCTCCCCCACCTCACCCCCAGTCTGAGGCCCCCAAGAGACTCATGCTATTATCCAAAATCTCCCCGGCTGTTTGAAGTGGGGTGTGGAAGTGGACTGAGGGAGCCAGGAGCACAAGACAAGGGGGACAGAGAGCCCACAGTGGACTTGGTGATCTGCCCTCAGGAACTGTACGATAGTGTTTATTGTTTTATGCCACATCTTACTTAACGGTTTCCTTCGTGGAAGACATTGTGCTATTGCAAACAGTGCTTCAGTGGACATCTCTACATGTGCCTTCATACGTACAGGTACACACATTTCTCTGGGCAATCACTATTCTTTATTCTGAGTTAACTGTAATTTAAAAAATTATTCTACTGAACATTATAATAAGAAAAAGACAAACTTGATAAGACTTAAAATATTTATTAGTATGAATCAGTGTGTGTTAAACCAAAAATAACAGATACAATTGGGCACTGCTGAGGGAAATGCTTTACTACAGGGTAGAATGCAAGGTCCCAGCTGTCTGCACAGGCGTCTTCTACACGCGAGACCTGGGTCCAGCCCAGACGGAAGCCCTTTAAAAAACGTGAGAACAGGGAGCAGTTTGCACAATGGCACACTGCCATGAGGTCACTGGGTCTGCTTTCAAGAATGCTGGTTAAAAGAGTAAAGCAGACACCTAATAGGTCTGAGTGCAGCTTGGAGCCCTTTAGTGTATAAGCTAGCTCGTTACTCAACCGGCCATGAGCGCTGCAGAGAGGAAGTGGAGCCCACAAAGGAGCCCACTTCAGCCATCGCATGTCAAAGCCCCGATCTTAGAGGAAATATTTCAGTCAACCAAACCTCCCTCGGCAGATGAACTCAGCTTTAATAGGAGCACAGCCCTTACTGTTGGCTAAGAGTTTTATGTCTTCAACCTTTTAGTCTGCAAGGTAACGTCATATTCAGCACCTGAATGTACCATTTTAACTCTAAAATGGCAAGTCAATCATGTACTTACAGAAAACGTTTGCATGACTCCACTGCCACTCGTAGGATTTCCAATGGGAAACCATCCCTCTGAGAATCCTGCCTACCTTCCAAAACACACAGCCATGAGCCACACTCGGCCAGTTGGAAATGGATTACATGTCGGCATAACCAATATAAAGTCATATTTACACATGTACACCACATACCACACAGGAAAGAAGAGAAAACGGGGAGAAGAAGCAAATTTTGGGAAATGATGACAAGGGCTCTACATTACATGAAACTATTTGACACTTTGGAGCAAGGATAATTTCTGGGCCTTTACATACTATTACATGGTTATGGTTCAATTATTAGAAAAGCCATGAAGTGATCCCAAGCCAAAATAAAGGAAGGTGGAAAGTCTCATTGTGGACAAGGCCCGAGCACCTATCTTCAGAGACGGCTCAATGTTTATGTGAACACTTGTGTGCCCAAGTGCAATCTACTCTCTGCCACTGCTCCGGGTGGTGATGAAACATATATATATTCTCTGACTGGCCTGAATAGCTAAGGCGACACAGAAAGGTAATAGAGTGGATTCACACCCTCGTGTGCTTCTGAAATAAAACCATGGGCTCATTAGTGGGTAACTCACTACATGTGGTTAAGACACGACATTTTATGCAAAATACAAGCCCTGCAAACCCAGCCCAAAGCTGTGAGATGCTCTGCTGGGACGCTTACCCCCTTAGCTAGGAAACCTGAACAGCTGTCCAGAGATAAATCCAGGTTTTCAGGGAAAGCTGGAAGAGGAAAGGTTCAAAAATAAGCCTGCATGTCACCGGAAAGAGGTCACTTCCATTTTCAATTTAATTTTTTTTACCTTTGGCAAGAGGTATGATAATTTCTTGGCCTGCAAGTAGAATCGTGTCAGCCAACAATGTTGACAATGTGGAAAGAAACCTTAAAAATCATTGCAAAGGCCTTGCCAAGACATCCAAATACCACTTGCTAACAGTTTTTGAGGCACCTGTCTGGGAGAGCCAAATGGCACTCCTGAATCAAAAATAAGTCTTTTCCAGCCTTCATACTCAAGACTGTCAATCAACTCTCACAAGCTGGGTGAAGCAGTAAGAAAATCAAATTGATAGCACATCCTTGAGTTGAAAACATAAATCTGTGACTTCAACCTGGCACTGTTTCCTTGATTATAATGAACATACAGAAAGTGTAGACTTGGCTGGTCTCTCCAGGATGCTTCCTTTCTGTTGATGACATGACTCAGTGTCTCTCGCCTGTCAAGAGGAGGTTAGGCATGGCCACGACAGACTCTACAGCAGCTCAGCCTGAGCTACTGAAAGCTGGAGGTCTTTCATCAGCTCATGATCTCTTTCTTGACTTTCACATCATACACTGTCAATAAAGGCTTGCTGGCCCTTGACGGTGTGTGGCAAAGGAGGTACCAGCCGGCCCTGTTAGCACCATGTGGTTAAACATTGGTGAGACTGTGCGTTTAGTTTTCCCAGCCCCCACAAGGCACTGTTCCTAACAGCTGTTAAGAATAACCTCCTAATATCAGCCTTAACAGGAAATCAGCTGATTCCTGATCCCAAGTTTTTATGAAAGTTAGAAAGGTAACAGGATTTGAATTTTCAATGGAAATAGCTTTTCTCCCTTTCCATGCTCTTTCTCCTTCAGATTCAGGCATCCTTAGTCAATTGAACAGACAGGCAATATGAAAAGGAAGGGAGGGTTTCATCGAATCCTCTAGTTAGTCCTGATATGCTCCTCCCCGAGCCTGGCATCATTTAAAATGCTTTCTCCAATTCTGTAGTTTTTGGGGTCTAGAAATTTCAGGTTTGGCTGGCTTTCCTGTAACCTATTGTTCACTGCTATTATTAGAAATCTGCCCTATGATTTAGACTCAAACACCCTTCAGTTAATTTTCTTAGTAATTCTCTTAGTAAAACAATGCTCTGAGCATTAAACTTCTCTAAGCGAGTAGAAGTTCATGACTACGGAGGTGATGAATGCCAGGTGGTCTCTTGAATGATATTTATAGTCTACATCTACCACGGCTCACACAGTAACTACTTAAATGACTCCTTCTAACTGGGCCTCCCAATCTCAAAATGTATGCAATATTTCAGCCTGATTTGGTTTGTTTGTTTAGATATGACCAAAACTGGAAAAAGTGTTCATTGATTAAAAGAGATGTAGACAACAGTTTCTAACTTTTTCTCCTCTTTTATAATAGTTCAAGTCTCAGCGTAATAGTCCAACTATACTTCTCCGATTTCCTTCAGAAAAGTAATAAATAAATGCTTACTTCCAAATCCAGCTAAAAACTAACCTTCTAAATTAAATTGGCCTTTCAGTGAAGGCTGCTTAGGTAACAAATGCAATGGCACTAAAGAAATTGCTGACTTTTGGCCGGGTGACCCAGGAAATCAGAGTAGAACGCCACTTTAGAATCCCATAAACATGATAGGGCAGTAAGACTTTTGTACAACAAATCCAAAAAATTTTTAAAGGTTTTTAACAAAAACTCAATTATACTTATTCCCTAATAAGTACAGTCCCTCCCGTGTGCATTTCATGCACTAAAGGCCATTTTGTGGTGGTGTGATGGGTTTTTCCAGAGTTCTCTAGAGTCCTTTTTCAGGGACCTTTCCTGCTCTGCTCCCTGCAGGTCTTCCGGGATGCGAAGCCAGCATGCGAAGCCAGCATGCCTGCTCTTCTCAGTGAGGTGCGGGCCACCCAGCATGGGGCTCCTTCAGCAGGGCCCGGGGTCGTGGGCTCTGCTTCTTCAAGTACGGCGGCCCGCAGCCCTGGGTCAGCAGCACCGCCGGCTGGATGGCGTGCTGGCCTTCCCAAGTTTGATGGCTCCATTGTTTCCATTTTCATGGGGGTCCAGGGGTGGGATCCGGCGGCCTGGAACAAAAAGGAGACCGCAGGTGAGCTCCTGTTTCCCCAGTCATCGCCGCACAAACTGACTTTTAGGCTGTGCCCACACCTCTGCTTAATGTTTGGGTTGCACAGAAAACAGAGGAGCTCCAGGAATGGCTCTTCTCCCCTCTGTCTCCCTCCCTCCTTCCCTCCTAGCTCTGCTGCATGAAGTCAAATCCATGCCTAGAAAGTTCAGACAGAGTACAAGCAGCTTCCTGACCGTGTGGCTTTCCTGCCACTGGGAGGACCTGCTGCGGGGTCGCGTCCCACTCTGCACACCAGCACTCATTCCTCCCAGCCTTCCCACCAGCCATCCGCTTTAATGACTGGCTTCACGCCTCTGCGACTTCAGCAGTAACAGTGCACACTCGGCCATCTTTTCTGCTTCTCAAAATAGAAGTGGACTGGGAACCGTGGTCTTCCTAGTACTGTCGTTCATTAGCGCTGAGCTCGCCACCTCGTCCGACCCCAGTACTTAGATCATTAACTGGAAAGCCCGCAGAGCGACTCTTCAAAGGAAACAGCATTTTAATGTCATCCACAATCTTTTTCTTACTGAATTTAAGTTTAAAAATTATCCTAGAGTCTCGATAAATAAACACAAAGTAAAAATTAAGGCAATGGAGGGGGATAGGGAGGTGATAGCTAAAGAAATGATAAAAATATTCTAAAATTGTGCTGATGCCTGCATATAGCCATGAATATGCTAAAAAGTACTGAATTGTACACTTGAAGTGGGTGAAATTGAAGTGTGTGAATTTTATCTCAATAAATCTTTTTTTTAAAAAGGCAATGGAATCTGGAAATAACCTTAGAACCTCACAGTTTTCAAAGATTGTCACAGTCACCGTCCTCACCTAACCCTGTGAAGCTGGTGGAATTATCACCATTTTATGATGACTCAGAGAACTGAGGTTGTTTGCTGAAGGTCACATCGGCAATAAGTGGTACAGCTGGTTCTGTGATTATAACCTTCATCCTGATTTTCTGATGGATCCTAAACCCGGGTCCTCCCCACTGCACATGAGCTTTCTGTTTACTTTTCCAACCCCCATGAAAAAAGCATGAAATACCAGCTCTAAAATGAGGATTTTTTTTTTACCAGCTACTTAGTATATTAGTTTACTAAGTAACCAGTAACTAGAAGTGGAAGGAAAATCCATTTCAAAGACAAAGTCTTTTAATGCAAGTGGATGTTACCTAAGGACTACAGACAGAGCCAAAACATCCTGATAGAAGGACATTTCTGCATGGGGCAGAAATGGTTGATTTCAAAGGTATTGACACAGTGTGTAGACTGGACAGTACAGACATCACCAGAGAGAAAGCGTAAAGAATATGGTCATTGGCATTTACCCCAAATTAAAAATCAACAGTAGAGATCTTCACCTGATTACGGAGCAGGTGAAAAGGAGGTGACAACTTCTGCAGCTATTGCTCCTGCCGTCTTGCACGGCCAGCAAAGCTGCACGAAGCTTTCACGGGCAGTTCCCAAGACAGTTCAGTCCTAATCCAGAAGCAGCAAGACAGTATGAACGCGTTTTCCTCTTATGGACATGCTATTTTATTAGTCACAATTAAAAGGAAGTAAACAAATGTCTCTTCTACTTTGTCAACCTTAAGTGATAAATACAGGAGAAAGTCCCCAGTGACCACCAGTACTCTAAAGATTTATTCAAGTCAGATCTTGACAAAAAAGTGTTGCTCCTCAAGAGAAAGTGAGGTGTTCTGAAGGGATGATAGTGTCAAGTTAGGCCCTTATTTAAATTAATAATATTTCAGGTGTCTCCTGATAATAATTCTGATGGGTACAAGCTGTTGCCCTAATCAACTAAGAGACAAGGACTGTTTCTTGATTAGTATAAGAAGTGGAAATTTAAGCATTTTTGACAATATCAAAATTGATATCCCATTCTTAACACCAATTTCATGCTATTCTTATGGTAACTCCAACATTAGCAAAACAGCATTAGCTGTTTAGCCCTGCTTTCTGTGACTTATTTTACCTGCCTTGTGCCCTAAGTTTTCATAACTATTTTCCTATGAAAAGTACCCAAACTATAGAAAAAGTTTATATATAAGATATTCATTAAAGTAACCAAGTACTGTGGAAATCTGGAAACAAAGAGCCCACGCCTGCACTGCTATTCCAGTCGGCCCCCTCCCCGCGTCTCCCTTCTTTCCTAAGCAGACCTGACAGCAATGTTTGGGACACAACGGTGAGTCAGGCCTGGTCTCCTCCAAGGACGTTCCACTCATGTGTCAAACTGCTGGCCTCGTTTTGAATCAGTTGTTGATCCTGGCCTCTTTGAGGGGCCAGGTTCTTTTACCTACAGAATATTCAAAATCTCACTTATTAGAACAAAATACTTCTCAAAGTCAGAACTTCTGCAGTTTCCTCAGACTTCGTTTTTCTCTTTTGGTAGAAAGCGGTTTGAGATTTGGGAGAGTCAGTGTTCCCGGTAAGCGAACTAGGACAAGTTATTTAAAATCTCCGAGGCTTCCCTTCCTCACCATGAAAAGCACTAGAAAGTAACTTACTATTCTGCAATAAGCATGCAGCTGTCATTAACACGGGCGGGGCCCATGCAGTGGAGGGGAGGGGGTCTCCTGTGGCCACAGGCTTCTCCTGGGCAGGGCTTCCGTGTCCTACTAAGCCCTCAGCCTGGGATGAATTACACGCAGGCCGGCCTCCAACAGTGAGAAAAAAGGAGGAGCTTCCACTTTGAAGCAGAGGCGGAGGAAAGCCCAGGGGCCTCGAGCACACGGCTGTGAAAACAGAACGCCGGCTCCCATGCTGTGGTCTGGGGCATTGAGAACTTACCGAAAGGTTAAGTGTACTTTCACAAAAGAATCGTTTGGGAAATGGCCATAACGTTTTGTACCAAGGTGATCACCTTGGAACACTGTGGAATCAGTATTATTTACACTGGCATAGAGGACAAAAATATATGTACAAACATCTGCATCTGTCTCCTCTTACAAAACGCCCTCTAAGTATGCAAACTCCATAACAAGTTGTCCTTGAGCATAAATTCTAAAGCAGAGTGTTTATTTTAATACAATTTACATTGTGTAAGATCCTGTTTGGGAAAAGTTAAAAAGACTTTTTTTGGGGACGTTTGGTTTTCCTGAAAGTTGACAGTCTAGAGAAAAAGCAGGTTTTATAAATGATTCCTCAGGAATGCAGTATGTGAAAACAAATTCCAAGCTTACAAATTTTTTCATGGCTCTGAACTGGGACTGTAATGCGTTCACGCACAACAAAAATAAAACAGCGGACTTAGCTGCAGCTGTCTCTCTCCTTGTGTGCTCGACCAGCCACTTCTGTACGAGCTTTGATTCCTCGCCAACAATTCTGTTTGTAGTCTTCTCCCCTTCCATTCCAGTTCCAGCAGTGACTTGGCTTGGCCATCTTCTGTTTGGTGTTAGTGCTGCTGGCAGTTGCTATGAAACTTCCATTTCTTGACTGATGTTTTCAATCACCCAGATTAGCAAACTGACCAAGTTTGCTAGAACTTAGCAGTATTTGCTCTTGATAATGACCTCCCAGCCCCTCCATTTAGAGAGGGGCCTCTGTGGAACACTGCGGTGCTCACGGTCACAGCACACCGACCTGAGAATGCAGACCAGGGCCATGCCATCCCTGCAGCTGTACTCTCGCTGCCACGACAAAGACAATACAGAATCACCAGAAGACCTTGAATTAGGACAAAGAGGCTGGAAGTGAGGAATGAGCTAACCTTCTACGAAGGAGCAGGACGGCTCAGGGGGCGGGAAGTGTATGTGGTCAGGGGTCTGAAGAAGGTGCAGTCAGGGACTACGAGAGTCCTAGTAGGTGTGCACTCAAGGGAGGAGGCAGAGGCGGGAGAGAAACTTAGGAAGACACTTGGCAGGATGTGACAACTGGACGGAAGCGGGAGGGTCAAGACAGGGACCAGAAAACCTGAAGGTCAAAGTCTAGGGAGCCGAGGGAACGGTGATGCCATCCAGAGGGAAGAAGGGACGGTCACCACTGGCTCTTCAACAGAAACCACTGGTCTTCTTACCATTCAAAGGCATCTTTTCCTTTCTTCTTCTCCTTTTTAATTGTTAGATTTTATTTTTTTAGTACTTCTTGGTTTATAGAAGAAATTGAGTGAAAAATACAGAAAGTTCCCATAGACCGCCTGACCCCGTCTCCAATTTTCTGTTAACTTCTTGCATTAGTGTGTAACATGTGGGCTTAAAGTCCACGGCTGACATGAGGGCTCACTCTTTGTGCTGGATAATGACACGCACCCGCCATGGTAGTATCATACAGAATAGTTTCACTGCCCTAAAAATCGCCCGTGCTCCAACTATTCACCCCTCCCTCTAACCCCCACCCCAGGACCCCTGGCGACCACTAATCGTTTCATTGTTTCCATAGTTTTGCCTTTTGCAGAGTGTCATACGGTTGGAATCATAGAGTATGTAGACTTTTCAGATTGGCTTCTCTCACTTAGTAATATGCATTTAAGGTTCCTCCCTACCTCTGCTTTGCTTGCTAGCTGATTTCTTTTTACCCCTGAATAATATTCCATTGTATGGATCTATTCCTTTAATATTTTATTTTAGCATTTAAAAATTATAAGATACAAAAAGTACATGCCACAAAGGAAAGACATGACAAACTACACTTAATCAAAAGTTAACAATTTCGGCTCTTCAAGACACTTAAGAAAATGAAGACAAGCCACAGTGTGGGAGAAAATATCTGAAAAACAGATATCTGATAAAGAATATGTATCTAAAATAAAGAAATAATCTTTAGAATGCAACAATAAAAAGACAAACAACCAAATTCAAAATGGGCAAAATTGGGACACTTCAAGCAAGTCATATGGATCGCTAATTAGCACATGAAAAGACCCTCAACATTACCAGTCATGAGGAAAATGCAAACTAAAACCACAGGGATATCACTATACTCCCATTACAATGGTTGACATTTTTATAAATTG